TATTCCATATATACTTCGTAGATTTTATCACATTTCCATCCTCAAATGTCTTGTGATACAACTCCGAAACTATGGGGTATTGACACTGTGGTCATGGAGTCATTTATCCTTACGTATGCTTCAGGAATACACCATCAGAAGTATGTAACGTATACCCGAAAGAACCTGTATATATACATCTTGCAATGGCCTTTACAGGTAAACAAAGTGTAATGTTAGTTTCAATATAATTAAGCTCTAGTACTGTATACTGTTTACACCACTACCCCTCAATGTGCACTGTAGCTGTGGTGATAATAGGATTAGTGCCGCCTGGTAGAGCCACACTCCATCACATCTTTGATTCATTTTGCCTTAATTGTTTTATCCTAATCATGTTTTTTTTTTCAATTCTAATATAATTCTGATTTACAATACTTATGGAGCTACATATATCAATTATACTATTTACTCAAAAAATACCTTAGAATGTTACTGAGGTAGAATAGGAGAGAGCTTCTGTAAACATGAATTTTGTGAACAGGGTGTTAAATGTGCTAGTGTGAGGCCAGGCAAGGAGTGTCGAGTCCCACTGTATTGGTGGTATTGTTTGTTCACACTTACATTTGTCGACCATGAAAGAAGAACAACTACAAATGCGACAAACATCAGTGGGCCTCCTGATTCGCATGACGACACTCGTGATATCAGTGATTCTTGCTTCAAGCTGTACACTACCAACCAACACATTCCTTAAAGTTTATTAAGCTGTGTCTAAACAACCAACCTTTTAGGATGTGTTGGTTAACCTTATTATCTTTACTTGCCGAGCCAAATGCCGACTAGTGTTGTTATGACTAGTGTTAGCAGGTGTTGACACTAAAAGCAGCATAAATCTTAAAAATGATCAAATTGTGCAGAAAGCTACGTTTTATTTGTCGAATAACAGAAAGTCACCATTTTTTCATCAACGCACAAAGATAGTTTTAATACCAAGAAAAAGTTATTTAACACCACAATAATTGTCTTTGTGTTGTGTTGAATAAGTGGCAACTTTGTGGTGCATACACATCAAGAAGTTTGAGGGTTTCTTATTAGTAAAAATAAATTTACTCTTTATGTAAATATGAGCTTAGGTTTAAACTATCATGAAAAAAAAATACAAAAACATATGAAATAGGGTTGATCTTAACATTCTTTCAGACAGAGGAAACAAAAGTGAATTTTTTTTTATTATGAAACACCCAGACACTCTTGACTACAACGTGTTAAGACGATTATTTTTTAGCAATGGCGAGACCTTATTGTCACCTTCATCTGCCACCAAGTACCCATTTTTAAATCTAAATTTTAAGTGGAAAATAGAAACTCTTTTGGCAAATAAGAAGTACGGTGGCAGATAAGGTATGAGACTAAGATCCCGCTGAAACCATACAGACAAGTGAAGAGCGGTGCCCGCTGCCCTGCCGGCTACGTTGTTGTGCTACCAGAATTATACTACTGACTACTGCCTGGTGCTCACCTACTGCTTAGTCACTACAGGGTGTTCTAAAGTAGGTTAAAACACCTTAGTCACTACAGGGTGTTCTAAAGTAGGTTAAAACACCTTAGTCACTACAGGGTGTTCTAAAGTAGGTTTAAACAGTTTAGTCACTACAGGGTGTTCTAAAGTAGGTTTAAACAGTTTAGTCACTAAGGAAGTTTAAACAGTTTAGTCACTAATGGTGTTCTAAAGTAGGTTTAAACAGTTTAGTCACTACGGGGAGTTTCTACAAAGGAATCACAAACACTTAAACATTTACTGCTATTGATAATATGAAGAAACATTCACAATTATATATATATATATATATATATATATATATATATATATATATATATATATATATATATATATATATATATATATATATATATATATAATCAAAGAAACAAGAAAACACGAAGTTCCCAAGCGTTTTCGTATAATTCACATCTTCAGGGGTGAGTACAGACTAAGAGGAGAGTGAGATCAAGTCCCTAGGGGACTGCAGTTGTCCTAATGTTCCGGTCATAAGGCACTGACCCTTACTAATCTTCTTGATCTCACTCTCCTCTAATGTATATATTAGCCTTGTCAAGTATTACTCCGCAGTCTGTACTCACCCCTGAAGATGTGAATTATACGAAAACGCTTGGGAACTTCTGTACATATACTTGGATCACCTGCAATTGATTTACTTGCATATATATATATATATATATATATATATATATATATATATATATATATATATATATATATATATATATATATATATATATATATATATATATATATATAGATCCACAGTGAAAACGTGGGTAAGATAAATCTTGATAAAATACGAGAGCAACAGGCACGTACTTAAGTCTTTATTCAAGACATCTTCAGAGGCAACAGTTGCCTCTGAGATGTGAATAAAAGATATATATATATATATATATATATATATATATATATATATATATATATATATATATATATATATATATATATATATATATATTATATATATATATATATATATATATATATATATATATATATCTTATTAGTGTAAATGCATTATGGGGCTAAAAAGTTAGAAAACCTGAAATTTTTTTTAACGCAGTTAAAAGTTTATGTTAACATTACAGTACTTGGAATACACACACACACGCATAACACATATTAACTAAAAAACTTTATTTACAATGTTATTGGATGCTGGAGTATAATTATGTGTTAGTGTTATGTAAAATTTTAGTTGTACAATACTTGCAGTTTTTCCCTCTGTCTACCTGAACGGCTCTACGCCATTACACAATTCCTTTTCTCTGGTTTAATTCTCCACATTTCCTTGTTCTCTATTGTTGTACTTATAAGTATTTCAAATTTTATTTTTCTTTTGACATGTAAATTTATTTCCTCGTTGTCTTTGTTCTTGTGGTCTGTCGACTTTTCCATCTTTACATATTTACTTTCTTCCACAATTCTTCCTCTTTCCGTCAATTTCCCCCTGTTTATGTCTCCTCATGTATCCTTTTAATATCATTGTCCTTAATTTATTTTGTTCTGTTATGTGTGGCCCCGTGTGTCCTCTCTTATAATATAGTTAATTAACAGGTGTTTTATTGGATAATTTTGATAGTTTTAGGCATTTATAGTTTTTATCCTCTATATTTCTGGCGACACACCCTCATATTACCTGGCCACAATTGCCATCACAGTACCTGGCCACACTTTTCATCACACTACCTGGCCACACTTTTCATCACACTACCTGGCCACACTTGTCATCACACTACCTGGCCACACTTGTCATCACACTACCTGGCCACACTTGTCATCACATTACCTGGCCACACTTGTCGTTACACGACCTGGCCACCTGTCATCACAGTACCTGGCCACACTTGTCATCACATTACCTGGCCACACTTGTCATCACACTACCTAGTCACACTTGTCATTACAATACTTGGCCACACTTGTCGTCACAAGTTCACTTTTTGCCCTCGCCCCTCCTCGCCTTGGTGGAGGCGCGGGTATATACTGTAACTTAGGGCTGTTACCCGCAGTAAGTAACACACCTCGCCCTGCTGATGATGGCTCAAGCAAATGTAAGATGGCGGAGGAAGAAGAGGACGAGAAGAAGAAGGAGGAAGAGGAGGAGAAAAGGGGGAAGAAGAGAAGTAGAAGGAAGAGGAGGAGGAGGAAGGGAAGGAGGAGGAGGAAGAAGAGGAGATTAAGGTTTAAAGATGTGCTCAGAGGCAGACTCGGGTTCCTGGCACAAGAGAGCGACAGTCACCTGCATGACGGAAGAAACGATGAAGAAATATAATTTTCAGTCATACAGAAAGGAACATAAAAATAAAGAAAGAAAACAGAGAGAGGAAGAATAGAAAGAAAGATAAAAGAGGGATAGAGAGCAGATAGAGAATAAGAAAAGGAAACTATAGAACGAATAATGGAGAGAGAAAGAAAGCAGAAGAGAAAATGAGAAATAAGTGAAAGAAGATAAAAGAGGTAACAGAGCAGTAAGAGAAGAGGAAGAATATGTTGTTTTGTGCGGCAGGGGAGGAGGAGGAGTGAGAAACAAGAAAGGAAGAGGAGTAATGCTGCAACAATAAGAAGAGAGATATAGAAAAGGGAGAAGAAAGGATAAAGGAGAAAGAAGAGGAGCGTAAGAAAAGATGTGGTAAAATTCAAAAAAGAACAGACACACTCATCGTGTTTAAGCTGTCATCACAAGCCACCCAACCTGGCGCTATATTAAACGCACGAGAAGGTGGAAAGATTCTTAGATGACAATAACAGTAAGATAAAGGACATATGAGAGTAAGAGTAAAGAGACTAGAAGAGGAGGAAGTCAGGAGGTTGAGCGGGAGTGTCCCGTTAGTGAGGGACACTCATCATCTTCACTTCCTGCATCATTTCATGGCTGGCCGAGGGTGTGGCTGGCCAACACCTGCTCGCTCACTCTTGTTTTACTGTCAATCTGACTTTCTATGTATTAGTGTCTGTCATATGCATGCGTCTGTTTATACCAGTGTGCACTAGGGGCAAGAGATGGCCCTCAAAATACCTCAGAATCAGCTCAGTTGTTTGATTTGGTGAGTATCCGTCTGACAGTCTACATCTCTGACAGTGTGCCAATAAATAGTCACCCTACAGATAACTTAATCTACCTCTAAGTTAGTAAAACGATGTGTTTGTTTGTATGTCTGTTTCTGTAGATCACGGAACAGCATATTTTGAATATTAAGGAGGCGTGAGTGTTCTTGTGTGGACGACGTGGTTTAGCCAGTTCTGTATGGCTGTCTCAAACGACTCATCACTGTGCCCGCTCTTTATTTTAATGGACTTTCCGTAGTCGCTTACTCGATACCGTAACTGTGATGTGTGTGTGTGTGTGTGTGTGTGTGTGTGTGTGAGGATGGCGTGCATTTAGTTACTGTTCCCAATTTGCAGGGTGAGATACTGGTGTGTGTGGTGTTGGTGTGAGGTGGTGAGGTACCTGACGTTGAAGGCATTGGTGACGGTCTTCTCCTGTGTTTGGTACTTGCAGCGGATGTGGTAGCCGCGGCCCTGGTTGGTCACGAGCTTCCTGTGTGGCTGTACCACCACCGTGTTGAAGTACTCGATGCCATCGTCCTGTGGGGTAGATGAGAGTCAAAGGTGTTTAAAAAAATTACCACGAAGATGATATAAAGGTGGGTTACCTTCTGCCTTCGTGATACTGACATCTAAAATATCGATAAATTTCATCTATGATATTAACGTTCCAGTAGTTTTAGAGTAAACGTAAACCTGTACACATACAGAATCCGAAGTAGAAACTGTACAGTTGTAGTGACCATTTAAACATTTATTATTATTATATGTCGACAAAATTAATTGCCCTAAAAGCCGCCGGAATTGTGTAGGCTGTACTTGTTCTACCATGCGCTTTCCTGAATTAATAAAAACAAATATATTATAGAAAGCATTTACTGACCCAAAGCATCAATGACCCTAAATTAATTATAGCCTTCATTATGGCTCCAACGTAACTCTGAGTTTCTTTTGGACTTACTACTTCGTTCTAGAAGGAAAAAAAAATACCATAAACTCATAACACACGATCTTCAGAACCACTGAAAAGTCAAATGGGTCCTATAGGGACAGTGTGGATACAGCACTCTGTGTACTAATTCTTCGGTACATAAAGAGGCAACATAGCCGGCACTTCACTCGACCACATTCGCTTTCCCGAGGTTGTGAATTGGGACTGCACCGGAATCGAACCACTGACCCCTGGAACAAGAGGCGAGCACTGTATCCACTCGACCAACGCGCTTCATCACACTTATATTTGAAAGAATTTAACCTTACCATGAAAATTAACTTCATTAGCCTTACTGAGATGATTGCATTATGGGAATGTTATTCATGAGGCGAAAAGGGAGACTATCAAATATTAAACCATCAGAAGAAAGGCAGAGAGATAAAGAACAATATTTCCAGCAGTTAATATTTATGCCCCCCCCACACACACATAGAGGACTCATCCGTCAACCATCACAGGTGGACTGTACAGTGTCACGCCCAGCAGGTGACGTCACGGTCGGGTTTTTCTCCGAGTGTTGTTGTTTTCACTTATTTTCTTAAAACAATTGTAATATTTAATAAAAGGCAATTTCTGTGGGAACGTGTGTAATATTCGCCTTTACTGCCTCTTTATCATTACCCTTCAGTTACGAACTATATAATAGGTGTAAAAATAAATTATTTGAATATCATAAGCATTTTTGTTAAACAACTTCACAACACTGGAAACATAACATATTAATATTTCCAAACATAACTTGTGCCAGTTCTCATAAGTGCATAAGTGAATTATTACCATATTATAAAAGCAGATGGTTTAGTACAAGAAACGAAACCTCTAGTATCTGTATTACGTGTTGGATTATAATACAGTTACAAAGTATTGATTTATCCCAAAAGCTAAAGAATAGATTTTCAAATGAATTTATATATTTGTTGGCAGTTGAATTCAAACTTTCATATTAACACAACTTTTATTATACAACAGTAAAGTGTGGTGACAATTTGGATAGATACTTGACTTAGGAAATCCTTGAACGACACACTTTTTTCTCTCATTTCCTTATATCCAGGAAATATTGAAATGTCATTTTAAATCTTTATGTGTGTTGGTATTACGTGTTAATAGTAAAAATAATAATAATAATAATATTATTAAAAAGTAGTGATACCATCTTACAGTCAACCGAGGGAACAACGGCAATGTATGCAATAGGTCCATCAGTGCTCCAACAAGAAATAAAATTTGAAACAACTGGAGTCAAACAAGTGGCGTATGCTGATGACCTTACAGGAGTAGGAAAAGTGGAGGGCATCAAAAAGTGGTGGGACTTGGTAACATCGCGAGGTCCGCAAATAGGGTACCACCCAAACGCCAGGAAGTCCTTCCTCATCGTGAAGCCAGAACATCATGAACGGGCATTAGATGTTTTTGGCGGAAGTGAGGTCAAAATAACTAAGACGGCACCCAGGCGCAGTAATTGAACTACGGACTTCAAGACCGATTACGTAGCGAAAGGTGAATGAGTGGGTTAGTGAAATCCAGGCTCTGTCTGAGATTGCTAACACAGCCACATGCGGCTTTTGCTGCCATTCATGGAGCAACATCGTTGGAACTACCTGACGCGTACTATCCCTGATATCGCATCCCTCTTCCACCCTCTGGAAGAAGCTATCAGAGTCAATTTCATTCCCAAATTAGTGAAACACCCTCACTTAACCCCAGCAGAAAGATCACTTCTTGCACTTCCATCAAGACTGGGAGGGATGGGACTAATCAATCCAGAGGAGATTGCAGCCACCGAACATCAAAATTCACTTAAGCTCACGGCAGCCTTCACGGACCACATAATAGCCCAGAACGCAACAGGGGAGGTGGATACCAGTGAAGTAAACAAGATTCGTAGGTCCATTACGACAGAACGACAGCTCTGGTAGTAGGCAACTATCAAACAGGGAGGTACTACCGCCTGGGAAGATATTGGAAGCATAATGCGTTGTCTAATGGTAGACCCTGCTGCCATATGGCATCACGAAAATTGTGACCAAGTCCCAGGTTGCTAATCTGACTTTCTGCCTCATTTACACACAATTGTACTCTCAATTGTTTATCTTACTGGGACAACACAAGGTACATAATGTATATCATTTCTCACTATTGATCTATTATTTTAGTATTTGTATGTATTTATGGTTATTATTATTATTATTTTTATCATTTATAAAATTTTTATTATTTTTATTTTGTATTATATTTTAATTTTAATTTCCCCAAAAAAAAAAATATATATATATATATATATATATATATATATATATATATATATATATATATATATATATATATATATATATATAAATAAATATATATATATATATATATATATATATATATATATATATATTTATATATATATATATATATATATATATATATATATATATATATATATATATTTATTTATTTATTTATTTATTTTTTTATTTTTTTATTCATTTGTCAAAGATTTTAATAAAATTCTTCAATAATCTTGATTTTTCTATTCCATGAATTTTTAACAAGATTTTTTTCTTTTGAACACCGATTCATTAATTCTTATATGTAACATATGGCAGCAAAAGGGATTCCGTCCCCCCTGGTGACGGGAGTTCCAATTATTATTTTTTTAATGTATAATAAAAAGTCACATAACTGATTTTTGGTTCCTCGGTAATTTGGCTATGGTCGTTCATAAAGTTATTTGCAGTTTGCATAATTTATGGAGTGACTTAATAATTATAATATACTTAGTTCTGTTTTTGATTCAACAGCTTCCCCCATTTGTTGCGTGTAAGGTCTTGCATTTCGTAAAGTTAAAGAGGATTTGCCACTTTCGAGATAATTTCAACAGCTCATTCAGGTTTTCCTGCATTTTTGCCACATAGTCCTGATTGCTACCTGCCCAAATATCTACTGTACGTATCGTCGGCAAACTTGACAGTTTGGTTCGATATATTTTCATCAATGTTGTTTATGTAGATCACAAATAGGGTGGGTCAAGGATTGAGCCTTGTGATACTCCACCGAGAACCTTTTTCCCTTCATAGTGTACAGTCGCCCAAAAAAGTCCTGTCGCGAACCACGAACCCCGAGATTCAGACTCGTGAACCCGAAGCAGTAGACACCGATACATTATTCTGTCCATAAATGCTTCGCATTCAAGAGTCTGAATTTCGGGGTTCATGGTTCGCGACAGGGCTTTTTTGGGTGACTGTACTCCAATTATTACTACTCATTGTTGTCTGTCTTCGAGCCAGATGTTAATCCACTTCATAATTTTGCCTGTGATGCCATGTGCCTGGATCTCAGAGGCTAGTCGTCCCTGTGGGACTTGTCAAACTTTTCGAGAAATACATGTACAACATGGATTTTCTTTCCATGAAACCGTGTTGTGGTGAGTTGATTAGATTGCGTTCGGTTTGGTGTTGGATGATGGCCTCCCTTAGAATTCTCTCAAAGATGTTAAGTTGATCGGCCTGTAGTTTGCCGCTGCACTTTTCCTACCATGTTTGTATACAGGAGTGATGTGTGTTAGTGAGGTACAAATCTCTTTTGACCTCTCCTTCATCACCTTGAACTGTGTTTCACTCCACTCAAGTGAGCTTAAAACTGCGTGAGAGATTTTAATTGTTAAATTGAAATCTGAAATAACTTTTACTTCATAGTTGCGCGGTTTATATCATTAAATAAGGTTCGTGTAATTGAATCTTCTTAGGTAATTTTCCTCCTTTGCGATCATCTCTGAAATTTCATGATAATCTGACCGTGAATATTGGTAGATATTGCCTATACAGTGATTTTCTTTTATAGTTCAGTAAATGATCTTCCAATGTGTTTGGTATGTGATAAAAGAACTGATGAATCCACCATCGTGTTAACTTTAAGTCTAGTTGCTGTCACTACCACCTAGCTAACTATGACGGCAACATAACTTAGGCTTCCTCATGTTAGCTACTTTACTTTGCTCAGTAGACGTGGCTGTTGTCACACTAGTTACCAGACCTGTCTGTTGTCACACTAGTTACCAGACCTGTCTGCTGTCACACTAGTTAAAAGACTGGCTGTTGTCACACTAGTTATCAGACCTGTCTGTTGTCACACTAGTTACCAGACCTGGCTGTTGTCACACTAGTTATCAGACCTGGCTGTTGTTACACTAGTTACCAGACCTGGCTGTTGTCACACTAGTTACCACACCTGGCTGTTGTTACACTAGTTACCAGACCTGGCTGTTGTCACACTAGTTATCAGACCTGGCTGTTGTTACACTAGTTACCAGACCTGTCTGTTGTCACACTAGTTACCAGACCTGGCTGTTGTCACACTAGTTACCACACCTGGCTGTTGTTACACTAGTTACCAGACCTGTCTGTTGTCACACTAGTTATCAGACCTGGCTGTTGTTACACTAGTTATCAGACCTGGCTGTTGTTACACTAGTCACCAGACCTGTTTGTTGTCACACTAGTTATCAGACCTGGCTGTTGTTACACTAGTTACCAGACCTGTCTGTTGTCACACTAGTTACCAGACCAGGCTGTTGTCACACTAGTTACCACACCTGGCTGTTGTTACACTAGTTACCAGACCTGTCTGTTGTCACACTAGTTATCAGACCTGTCTGTTGTCACACTAGTTACCAGACCTGTAGCGCCACGACGGCTGTTGTCACACCAATTACCCCGCCTGCCTGTTGTCACACTAGTTACCACGCCTGCCTGTTATCACACTAGTTACCACGCCTGCCTGTTGTCACTAGCTACCACGCCTGCTGTTATCACACTAGTTACCACGCCTGCCTGTTGTCACATTAGTTACCACGCCTGCCTTTGTCACACTAGTTACCACGCCTGCCTGTTGTCATATTAGTTTCCGCCTGCCTCTTGTCTACACTAGTTACCATGCCTGCCTGTTGTCAAATTAGTTGCCACGCCTGCCTCTTGTCACACTAGTTGCCACGCCTGCCTCTTGTCACATCAGTTACCACGCCTGCCTTTGTCACATTAGTTGCCACGCCTGCCTGTTGTCAAATTAGTTGTGCCTCTTGTCACCTAGTTACCACGCCTGCCTCTTCTTCAGTTACCGCCTGCCTGTTCTCACATTAGTTTCCCTTTGTCACACTAGTTCGTCTGTCTTTGTCACACAGTTTTCGCGCCTGTTGTCACATAGTTACCACGCCTGCCTGTTGTCATATTAGTTACCACGCCTGCCTATTCTCACATTAGTTTCCCCTGCCTTTCACACTAGTTACTCGTCTCTCTTTAGTCACACTAGTTGCCACGCCTGCCTGTTGTCACACTAGTTGCCACACCTGCCTGTTGTCACATTAATTACCAGGCCTGCCTTTGTCACACTAGTTTCCGCCCCTTTGTCACACTAGTTACCGCCTGTCTCTGGTCACACTAGTTGCCACGCCTGCCTGTTGTCACATTAGTTTCCACGCCTGCATGTTGTCACACTAGTTACCACGCCTGCCTCTTGTCACATCAGTTACCACGCCGCCTTTGCACTAGTTGCCACGCCTGCCTGTTGTGCATTAGTGCCACGCCTGTCTTTGGTCACTGGTTTGCCACGCCTGCCTGTTACATCTAGTTGCCACGCCTGCCTCTTGTCACACTAGTTATCACGCCTGCCTTTTGTCACATTAGTTACCACGCGCGCCTTACACCTGGTTGCCGCCTGCCTGCTTTGTCACATTAGTTGCGCCTTTTGTCACCTGGTTGCCACTGCCTGTTGTCACATTAGTTTCCGCCTCCTTTGTCACACTAGTTACCACGCCTGCCTTTGTCACATAGTTACCACGCCTGCCTGTTGTTACATTATTTACCACGCCTGCCTGCCAGTTACCACGCCTGTGTTGTCACATTAGTTACCGCCTGCCTTTGTCACTGTTACCACGCCTGCCTGTTGTCACCTTAGTTGCCACGTCTGCCTGTTGTGCTGAACACCACGCCTGCCTGTTGTCACATTAGTTACCACGCCTGCCTTTGTCACACCTAGTTACCACGCCTGCCTGTTGTACCTTAGTTGCCACGCCTGCTGTTGTCACTTAACCGCCTGCCTTTGTTACACTAGTTACCACGCCTGCCTGTTGTCGTTAGTTGCGTCTGCCTGTTGTCACACTAGTTACCGCCTGCCTTTGTTACACCAGTTACCGCGCCTGTTGTCACGTTAGTTGCCATCTGCCTGTTGTCACACTAGTTACCACGCCTGCCTTTGGTACCACCAGTTACCACGCCTGCCTGTTGTCACTTTAGTATCCACGCTGCCTTTGTCACACTAGTTACCACGCCTGCCTGTTGTGTCACCTGTTGCCACGCCTGCCTGTTGTCACACTAGTTACCACGCCTGCCTTTGTTACACTAATTACCACGCCTGCCTGTTGTCGTTAGTTACCACGTCTGCCTGTTGTCACAGCTACGCCTGCCTTTGTCACACTAGTTACCACGCCTGCCTTTGTTACACAGTTACCACGCCTGCCTGTTGTCACACTAGTTACCACACGCTGCGCACTAGTTTACGCCTGTTGTCACATTAGTTACCACGCCTGCCTGGTTACCACGCCTGCCTTTGTCACACTAGTTACCACGCCTGCCTTTGTCACACTAGTTACCACGCCTGCCTGTTGTCACATTAGTTACCACACCTGCCTTTGTCACACTAGTTGCCACGCCTGCCTTTGTCACACTAGTTACCACGCCTACCTGTTGTCACATTAGTTACCACGCCTGCCTGTTGTCACATTAGTTACCACGCCTGCCTTTGTCACACTAGTTGCCGAGGCTTACTGCTGTCACACAAATAACAGACTTGTCTACTGAGTCACACCTGAGAAAACATTATATAGATGCTGGTACACTCATTCTCAGAAGAATAATTGTCATTTATATTTTTCTTCTGTAAGACTTATCGAAATTACTTTCCCTTCATATTATCTCGTCTTTTTTGTATTAATTTTTCTCCAGCATTATATGATAATTTATATTGCACATATTAACTCGAAAGTATTTGGCAAGTATACAATTCATATACGGCTTCTCTTATACATGTGTATATGATGCATTTTGTGGCTAATAGTTTATCTCTAAAATTTGATCTTTAAACTGTAACAAAAGGAAATTTGCCAAGTTGTGGAGGAAGTGTATTTTCGATTGTGGTGTGTATCAGGAGGGGGAGGGGGGGGGGGATTATCCTTCACCATCCGGTCTTTGGGGACGAAGGCTATAAATTCATCAGAATATAAGCAATATACAGCATGTATTCACACTAAGTAAATTATTTTGATACACGCACTGTCAAACTTGTAGATTAAATACAAAGTTAATATTTAACTTGGAGATAAGATCATGACAGTATAAGTCTAGTGATCAGAGGTCACAACGAGGTTCACATATACCAGAGGTTGATGGGCTCAACAAACACACCAGGCCCCTAGCGCCTCCCTGGTGCGCCTGTGAAAAACAAACAGCGTGAGTTGGCAACACTTTCCGCCTGCTCAGCCGCCACTATTCACCACAGAATATATATATATATATATATATATATATATATATATATATATATATATATATATATATATATATATATATATATATATATATATATATATATACCGAGAGATAGAGTGTGTACTGTATATTGTTGTAGCATACAGTCTGTATAACTTTAAGGACACTTAAAAGAAACTTTGCCGCGGTTAGTGTTGCCGTGTCAGGGGCTGCTTTTGGGCGTTACTTCAGCTAGTAATAACAGTTAAGTAAAAGTACTATAGTAAGCAGTGTTTGTATCTGTTGACATCCTGCTAGACGCTGAACAATAGTCGTTAATAAAGAATCAGAGATGTAGTCCTGATGCCATCTACCTGAGTACAGTCGGTTTCTGCCTTCATTGATATAAATAGTTACTGCAGTTGTGTAAGATATGTTTCATATACGATATAATATAACTTGGTGATAAAATACATCTATATTGAAACAAATTATTTAGATAAATAAACGTCTATAATATGACTTAGATCATTTTGAACTTTGAATAACTGGTTACTCCACCTAAAATAAAAGAACATTAATAAGATGTGAATAATCTATGAAGAGTAGCTCAAATAAGCTTCTAGCTTAACAAAATGCGAGAAAGAAATCTGTCAGTTATACATTACCTCTCTTACCTCACACCTGGTGGCTCATGTTTAATGTAGAGAAACATAACCGGGAGGAGGGTGACACTGCCTGGGTCACAAGGCGACACAAGTATGACGAAAGGAAACAAACTATCTTGGATTTAACTTTTACGATATCAAACATATACAAGGGGAGAGTGATTTTTTTTTAGCACTTATCCGCAGTTAGAAATATGCAGTGAGAAAGGAAACTGACCAACTCGGTGCTCATGGTGCTGCAGGACTTGAGCGGAAGCTTGTAGAGGACCGGATTTGATTGGTCCTTGAACTCCGACATACAGGAGGAGTTTTTGGAGAGTCCTTTTGGGTAGATCATTCCATTGAAGTCAGCGGATGTTTCAATGGAGACGACGATGTCATTACTGTTGCACAAGATTCGGACATTTTTAATCGTGGCCTCTTTGTCTGTGGGAGAGAAAACAACTTTTGTTAGGAAATGTGAGGCGAACTGAGGAAATGTTTGATGTGACAAATGGAAGTGAGGGTAATGTGTTTTTTCATAAATGTTGAGACAATGTGAAGAACGCAAATAATGAAACGCCCAATTTTCTACTGTTTTTAGAGTGACCGTTTCTTGTCCGCTGTGGTTTGTTTTATAATGTTATGGTACAGTATATGGTTTCGAATTTAGCGTACAGAATTATGGAAACATACATACATTGTGTTACATGTGAGATGGGCAGCGTCATGTCCAAACTAGACAATAATACACTGTTTCGGATCCGTAAACTAGATCCACTTACTTACCTCCAGAATGTTGTAAATCCTCTTAACTTATTTTTTTGTCAAAGTGAAAAAAAAATTCTTTACTAGATTCCAGCTGCCAAAATTTTAGCAAAGTTTTTGGACGACTAGGCATCTGTGCACGGATACTCAACAATTGCGACAGGTGGTAGTTGTGTAGGCCTATATTGTGATGACATTGTATAAGATAAGGAGAGTTACGCGTGGGAACACCTGTTATGATAATAAAAATATATAAATTAAACAATGAAAACATGATCTACTTTCTGGCTCACAGCATTAGTATTGCACGTTAATTCTGACTGAATCCATATACCAATTCACAAAATTCCCATAAAGCGTAAGTTTACTTTCCTGAAAAAAAAACCCGCTACGATAATGTACTTGATTATGGATATCAAGATATTGTCAAACTCCTTAGGCTGGCTGTGTTCCTTCACTGCTACGAAGACTGAAAATATTGAAATGTACTGGAACACAATGGTGACACCATCGTGTGTGTTAACACCAACAAAACAGGAACCCAGGCCATTAAACAATTAAACTACCTCGCAAGTTTCACGTCCAGGTCCCTGGAAACAAAATATCCGAAACACCATAATATGTAAAAAGGAAAAGAAAAACAACGACCCCACCTCAAAACTGTCATAATACATATAATGCCTCATGTTTACCCCAGTAAAGATGTCACAAGTCACACTGACAGATTGACAGGTAAGAGGTAGCATTTCCATGGTGTATCTTTCTTATGTCCACCTGTGGAAGTTGTTACCAGCAAGACAAGAAAACAATGCCACAGATATCTTTTTGATAAATGTAATTGTTGACCATTGTGAGTGTTAAATATAGTTACAAAAGTTAAGTTATAACATTTCGACCCCGCTGTATTTTGGGTTCATGTTACCTTCAAGAGAACTAAACAGGATGTTGCATTGCTGAAAACATAATGCAGAGAGTAATAAAAAAAATTCAACATAAAGGAAACACGTATTTATAATATCACTCACTGTACTCTCAAGCCGTAGGAGAGGGGAGGAGGCACGATGAAGAGTGGCGGTGGGAGTGAGGTCGAGTATGCGTCTGTACCTCATTATCTCATTATCTAAATTATCCCGCGACAATCACGTATATTACGGAGATACCAAAAGGTAACAACAAAAACTAAAAATCCGTTCACTGAATTTATGGATTTTGTCCCTTAAATTTCGTTGATGGTTACTGTTTGCCAAAAGCATTCCTCGACCGTTATTGAATACCCATAACATCAACGCATTCCTTCAAGAGTAATCAATATCAGCATACAACTGTATTCTTTATCCAACTTCAATTTCAATACAAAAACAACATTACCTCAGCGGCCACCTTGGTCATTACTACAAAATTAGAGTTATATCAATGTCGTGTCCTTAGCCACCACTATCATGCTGAGCGTGTACTAAACAAAGGTTTTGTTGTCCTCGTGACCTTCACCCTGGTTGACGATGATCTTGTGTGATCTGCGTGTGACCTTGAAGACAATGGGTGAGGGAAAGACATCTCTTGTGGCAAGGAAACAATTACTCTTTATGGTCCAAGTGGTGATTGTGGTAGGTGCCGGCGAGCTCCCACCTCCCTATCTTACCTGTCTTCATTATTGTACTTTTATTCTTTTCTATATTTCCAGTGGCTTGTCTCAACTACTGATTGTCTTTTATGACACATGACAACTTTCTCATAGGATAGACGCTTTACATATGATACAGATAACCAACTGAATAATCCCACACGTTTTGGGGATAAACTTTGACAAATCTCCATGTGTGGACTTGTTGATGTCTTGATAGGCAGACATTTTATATAAAAAGGGATGAATTCAATACTTAATTAATCGTAGATATTTTCCAGCTTAGACTTATAGTGGTATTATATGAATAAGTTAGTTTTGATAAGATGACGAGATTGGTGATGGAAGTCCCATAATGGCACACGGTAGAAGAGGTTGATGCTGGGAGGCAGGGCTGGCGTGGAACAGAGAAGTGTTATGGTGGCTAAGAGATAATAATCAACCACTGAGGTATGGGAACTCCCATCATTAGGAGAAATATTACGTGTATCTCGGTAAACCCGAACCTCATTCCAGAAGATATAGGCTATATGCCCTCGCACCAAGGATTTATTAATT